GTTGGAGGTTCGAGTCCACCCAGAGGCACCTTGGAAGAAAGGTCTGGCAATCTACTTCTGAAAATCAGCCACTGATTTCCATTCTGACACAAATGGGGTTGCCATGACTAGGAATCGACTTGATGGCAATTTTTTTTTTTAATATCCTTAATAAACAAAAGCTCTTTGGTGTTCTAATAATTTTTAAGAGCGTGAAAGAGTACTAAGATAAAACAGTTTGGGAACCATAGCCATGATTGTATATTTCTTTACATGTCTTATAAACTTGGCTTGTCTGTCCTTTAACATTATGTCTTTTCTGCCCATTATAATAAAGAGAACATTTAGACAAAGGTTGGCCATTGGTACGATGGTATAATATTTGGAAGGAAAAAAGTAAAAAAAAAAAAAAAAAAAGCCAATTGCAGTCTATTTTTTATAGCTCTTTCGCTATAAGTCATTTCTATTAACTGAGTCTTGCTATAGGTGTTTATAACAAAACATTAAAGACTGGGTGGAAAGGAGAAAACAAATCACTCTGCAGAGGACCCAGCAACTCTGCTAAAATACTGTCAGTTATTTATCTACTGTCAGCAGAGGTTGCACACTATAATCCTTGACAAGCTCAGATTCAGAAAGAATGAAGAGAAGGGGCAAGCATTGCATTTAAGGGCCTGTTTTCATGCAAAGACGTTTTAACACAGATTTAAAGCCAGAATGTATCTTCTAGAAAATGTCACTTTTGATTTTGATACATTTCCTAGCAAGCAGGCTCTACATCTGGTTGACTTAGTACGAGATATGTTAGAGGCTAACGCTATATTTTAGACCATTCATGATCCCAGTGTGGAAGTAACACAATGAGGTCAGCATCACTTCATTTTTAGAGTTGGTACTGCAACTGCATGATTTCATGGGGATATTTTTTATGATAAGGAGGGGAGTTTTATTTTTGTTTTGCTAGGCAAGGTAATGACAGGATTGAAGAACCCTGTTGCCCTCTCCAGCGTCCATTTCTCCTTTATGTTAACAGGGAAAAAAATCATCAATGCATCCTCGTGTTCCAGAATACCTCCCTCTAGAAAACATACATAGCCAAGGCAAAAATGCAACAGACTGAAGAGCTTCCTTTCAGGCTGCTCTGAAGAAAACCTCCCTTCAAGCAGGTAGTGAAAGGAGCTCTTACTACTGACAAGAACATCTGAACACAAGGAAGGGGAGGCTCAAATAAGAGGGTTGAATAAGAAATACAACCCTGGTCATTTCTAGCAGAAACCATGGTTTCTTTTAGAATACAGTTCATATCGACTGGTCAAGTATATGATTCCCACCCATATGATCAGAGGTCTAAATAAATGTGTGCTTGTAAGTGGGGATGTTTGATGAATGTTGAACCAGAATCTTAATTTTCTAATTCATATTCACCAATTAAAAACAAACTGTATTTTTATGAGCAAATTTACATAAATCAGATGATAAAGCATCTACCACTAAAGGGTAGGAGTTCAGCTCACAACATTTGCATATACTCTCCTAAAGAAAATATAGGCGTTTTAGATTTTCAGTGAAGAGTCTTGCTGCGTTGGAACTCTAATGGGCTTAGAACAGTAAATTTTGAAGAAACTGATTGCTACCCCTGTAGCTAGTAAATGTCTGCCTAGACCCAGTGGCATTTGAAAAAAGTGTTTTATCATAAAATTATCCCAGCAGAGTCCATTCTGCAAGATAACATCATCATCATCATCATCATCAGTACTGCATGCAGGACCCAACAGCTCTGGCACAATATTGCCAGTCATTTATCTGTTGTCAGCACAGGTTACACACTGTAATCCTTGACTGCCTCGGAATTAGAATGTCTTTGATGTCCCCACAAGAGTTTTTTGCCCGAAGGCTTTACCAATGCTCGGCAGCTCAGTGTTTATTCCTCGTAATCTTCCTCTCATCTCCAGGCTAGCAGTGACAGATGGTTATGGGCACACAATAGTATTAAGAGTTTGATATTTTTTTTTATGCTGTGCTCTCTGTACAACAAATAGCTATCAGACGCGGGCCAGAGAGCTGACATGGCTCGCTTAGGTAATGGCAAACAAACAACTCGCGTTGATGCTTTCTGTCATTTCCCCTCCTAACCCTGCTTGTTTTCATTGTATACTCTCAAAGGTAAACTATATTAACCTTATAGACTGTTATTAAAAAGATATATCTATATGAGCATAAAGTGCTTTTCTTTTCTCTTTTTCTTACTCTTTTGATTATGAAAGTAATACTGCTGACATATTGAACAAATATCGAATGTCAACATAAATTTTTAGTGTGTGATAATATCCCCCTTCATATAGCTGTGTGTCAGGCGGGAACCCGCGGATGATGCATAGCAGTAAATAACCTAAACAAAATTAGTTCTCTTGTCAGCTTCTACCTTGTATGTCCCCAGGCATCAGTAAAATTGACTGCACGCTAGATTTTCAAAATTAGCCCTAATGTTAGCTATGTGTCTGGCAACCTCCAAGTTTCCAATGTTCTACTATATTACCCGTAAGGATGAATGTGTTACTTTTATATTTTGGCATTTACTCTTGCTGATGTGGCTCTTTTTCTCCCTCTTCTCCAAATTAAAAATAATTTAGCTTTAACAATAAGAATGTGCACAAACACAATGCTGCATCTCTTTAAGCAACTAACTTTAGGCAATTAAATCAAATTAAAGCAAAAATATACAAAGAAAGAAAGGGAATTATTCAATTTAATATTGTTAATTTTATTAACATAGTTTTATCTTGTTTTGCGCAAAGTACTGAATACCGTGGTTTTCACTCTTCCCCCCATATCAGTATGCTGTTTGCAGTAGTCTACAAATTATTTAATTTAGCATTTTGAGGATGACCTAGAACAAAACTTTTTAGTTAGAACTGATTTCCTCACAGTACATATTACTTCAGAGACCACCGAAGATTAGCACAATAAAAGAAAAGGCTTTTAAGAAGGGACTAAATGAAGGCATCTATTTTACCTTGTAAGAGGTTAACCTCATGTAGTTCTCCTACATTTTAAGGTAACATAAAAGAATCCTGAACACTGTTACTTGTAAGTAAAGTACGATTTGAAATTAATGTTACTCCTGTAGAAAGGCAAGGCTGCAAGTTTGGAGTTAAACAAACAAACCCAAAACACATTCCACATCAACTTTCAGTCCTGAAATTTTACGTTCATACATTTGAAGTCAAAGATGACAATCCCTTTAGGTACCAGATGCTGCAGATCATCTGGGAGAGCGTCGGGAGTTTAATGTGTTGGAAGTCAAATCCTCGGCAAAGGCGCTTTGCCGGCCGGTGTGGTGGGCTTATTACGACTTCACCTGCAAACAGTTGCTCTCAGAAAATCGGACCTAATGATCAGCCCAGGATCTCTGCAAATAAAGAGCCCATAATCTGTGGGGGAAGTGAACTCTAATCAGGCCACATGCAGATTAAACTAACTGGGAAGAATAAAAACTAGATTAAAATGTTCATGCCTAATACCAGAAGATTATCAGGACATTTTACCTCTTTAAATCCTAATTTATAGGAGGCAGGGTTCAGTTTATGAAGTTATATTTGGTCCGATTATATGCTGCAGTGGATTTTTCAGTGTTCAGAAAATATTCTTCTGGAGAGTATTTTGTTTAGCCTAATACAGAAGTATCTTGGAGAAGGAAAACATTTTCAAATATGCTGATATATGTTATGACAAGTAAAATGAAGGCACCCAGTTGAAACTGGTCAAATCAGAAAATAATGGTAATTGCTATTGTATTAATGTAATACTGTTTATCAATGTGTATATATGAAATGGTTTTATAATACAATAAAAAAAAAAAAAAAAACCTGTTGCTGTCAAGTCGATTCCAACTCACAGCGAACCTATAGGACAGAGTCGAACTGCCCCATAGGGTTTCCAAGGAGTGACTGGTGGATTCAAACTGCTGACCCTTCGGTTAGCAGCTGTAGCTCTTAACCACTATACCAACAGG